ATCGCCAAGGAGCAGTGATCTCTGAAAATAGTCATAACAGGTCCTGTTTTATACATTTTCAAATGATTAAGTGAGGTTGAATGTTTTTCAAAATGTTGTCCAGATCCACGAGTAGAAAGTACATGCTCAAATTACAGTAGGAATGGTCAAAGTGAGAGATGCCAGGTTAAAGGCAAATAGTCCCTTCTCTAACGTGTGGTCTTGACTTTTTAATCAGCAGCACATTGCTTTCCATTTTCCAGTAAACACCTTTTTCAACCTCTTGTCCTTTATTCCATAGCAACGACAATAAGAAAGACAAAATTAAAAGTGAAAAATGTAATCATTGCATGAATTGTTTTGTCTACATGACAAGCTAATCAAGTACATGCCCTCTTTGAGGCATGACCTACAGATCCAAAGTCTTAGGGACACAGCTTCTAGATTTTTCCAGAGATGGCCAATTTATTAGAGAATTTTGAAATTATGCTAAATATGTGCAAATTCTGTTTGCAATAAATACCATTAGCTAAGAATGATGAGCATGAAATAAAGGTTCATTACATTAAAACCGTTTTTATTCTACAAGAATTAACATGTTTCAATACAATATAAATTTTATCCATCTACAAAATGCTTAAATGTTTGGAATATCATTTATGTCCATAATGACAGATTTATTTTTGAGGCAGTCATTTTCAATCTTGCTTTGTATATTTTAAAGTTGTTAAATGCTTGACTGAATCATTAGCAAAACAATTCATGTATCATTAAACTGATTTCTAACATGAGATAATTTTCTTCCTTGCCCAGTAGATGTGCCTTTTAAGATTTCCTAAAATAGCTTTGATTCTTTAGGCGATGGATTGTGGGAGGTGGTGGCAAGAGGCACTAATTTCACCATTCTTCAATTGCTCTTCCCTATACATTCCCTGAAGAATTATCAACAGAAAAATGGTTTGCTGAGTGAATATTCAAGCACACTGGCAAATCCACACTGTATTAGGAAAAGACACAGACCCTAGAAAGTTTTCCTTTTAATGAACCACAGAAGCCAGGGAGGAGGAAATAAAAGAAGGTAGAAAACAGAAATCCTGGAAAGCTCCAAGCCTTAATGAAAATGAGACCTTCTTCCCTACACACACTACAGTGCACAGCCCCTAATTGCTAACCGTTGTGTTTCCTTTATGTCCCACACTTTCCCAACCTTGAGCAGTCCTGTTTTGTTTAAGTAGAAGGCGCAGCTATGCAAGCCTCAGAAGACCTGTGCACAGGAGCAGGCAATGCGTGGCAACAGCAGGGCCGCTGGGGTGCCTGGGCCATGCCCAGCTGGAGCTGGAACAGTTCACTTTTGTCTGGAGAGCAGACCCTCTCCTGGCTGGTTCCAACAAGGCCAGGAAAAGTGGGGAAAGTGGGAGCTGTTCAGCCAGGCCCTGGGGGCAGCTTCACTCAAGGAGTAGCCTGGCCCACACATGGCCCCCTTCTCAGCCTTGACAGTCCTACACAGACCTTTGAACTTTCTATTTATATAACAGTTTAGTGAGTTTAGTCCCTTCCTGTATAAATGCCTGCTTGCAATCGGGCCACTAATTAGGCTACTTGTGAGACATCACATAAAACCACGAACAAGTGACACAGTCCTTCTCAGTGGAAAGCAAGCCACTGTCACAATCACTTACCTACAATTTTCACCACAATCTTGAAGAGTTTGGTTTTGTTCCTGTGACCATTTTAGTTTTATTTTTTAAATCTTAAGAATGTATGCTTTTCTACATTTACTTCTTTTCTTCCTTTTCTCTGTATTTTATATATATATATATAAAAGACAAATGCTTCATCAAGAGCCTTCGCCTGTTGGAAAGCAATAGTTAATCAATACTCTGGAGACGGGTGCTCACAGACCTGGGACCTTGCATAATTCATATACTTTTCTGAATTTTTTTTGTCCCTTTTAAGTGAGATTAATGACTTCATCATCACTAGTAAACAAGTCCAAATCTAGCCATTTGACCTACAGATCCTTCAACCATTTACTTAATTGATCACCACAGGCTAATCTATGGAATTATTTAGACAACGAATTGGATCTTTTTAATAAATCCATTTACCCTTGTTCAAGAGCAAGTGATGTCTCTAGCACATATTCACATCTTTGCCTTCCTTTCACTTCATACAGAGGTTCATATGAAACACAAATACAGGTGAACATTGCTCATGCATCCAGCAATCTTTAAAGAACTTGAGATATGTCCCTTTAATGGAGTGCAAAGCATGACCTATTAAGTTATTGTTGCAGTCTGTAAAAATTCAGTGATGTGTTGCATTAGACATGTGGGCACTGCTCCTACCTGCATACTGACTGTATCATTCATACCCTGTGCTGTTCATGTGCATTCATTTTTGCCTTATTACAATCAAGTGCTTGCAAATAGATAGATAGATAGAGGATAGATAGATAGATAGATAGATATAATATATATTTCTTTTTCCTGGTGTGTGTTCAGCATTTCTTTATTATGTCTAGGAAAAGCACTTTGTTTCTAAGCTGTCCTGTTCAACTCCTTTTCAGACATCTAGGCTGGGAGTAGAGGTGGTTCCAAACCCACTGCTTCACAAGTGAATAGGCTCAATGCAAATGAGCTCTTAAGTTTGCAACCAACCTTTGCCCTCCTCTGTCCTTTTGAGGGCTTAGGGGAAATGTATGGCGCCACTTAAGGCAACTATATCTTCTTAAGGAATGTTAGTGAACATATAATGAATATATAAATGGTATTGATTGTTATCCAGAGAGAATTTGAATAGGTACCAATATTAATTAAAGAGAATGTGGAGCTTTGTCACAGTGGTAGTCCTTTTCTCTATGGAGGTATAGGCAAGACAGAAGCATAAGTATATTGGTCAGGTATGTCAACAGAGATGTATAAGCAGAATTGCCCCTTTAAAAAAAGAGAATTGCCTTTTACTAATCAATTGTCCTGGATCGTGTATTCAGAGCAAGGAGGTTGGTTTGTTTAGGCAGGTATATTAGAGAAATTAATTATTATTTTACAACATAGCCACCAAGTGACCAAGTTGACATGTTCTTTAACTGATGTGATACAGTTATGTGTCTCGAAGCAAATAGATTTTGTATTTTTCTTATGAAAACGTAGCTTCCCCAAAAGGGGAGAAGACACTTTCCTGAAAATCAGAAATTAAGCATAAAAGAACGCATCCTCTTGATATATTTAATTGCCCATGGGTAAGATTAAATGAGAATTAAAACAATAAAATATACACTTTAGCAACCTCATGCTTTGGATATGTATAACATTTGAACTTATACCCATGAAATCAATTGTACGAATGTCTATTGAATTAACGTTGTTATCCATATCTTATACTAGGTAAATTGTATGCAGATAGATAATGCTGTGGTTTTCCCTTGTCTGTAAAATAAATTAGTAAAGCAGGGTAAAGGCTGTGTTCGAACGATGATGTTTGGTTGAGAAGTAATTTTCCTGTGATTTTTTTATTTTCAAATTATTGCAATGAGATTCTTTTAAAGAAAATATACAGCAATTTTTTGCAGAGGTGATAAAACCTCACATGGTTTCCAAAAGGTTTTACAGATTAATACTGATACAGCATGATGTGTGCTTTAAAGCTTTATGGAGAATTACTGTAAAATCAAATGTAACGTTCGGTTATCTTGGATTTGCAACTAAAGGTGTCATGCTTCGCAAATGAAGCTAACTAGTCAAGCATTTGCGTTTGACCCCCTTTTTTGAAAGAAAGAAATCGCCTAAAAGATCACACCCACATGAGAAATCCTCGTAAAAAGAAACAGCGAGCATTCACAGTGGATGACCAGTTAATAGTTGAACGCTGCAGATCTGGAAGTATTGGTGGGCAGTGCCTATTAGCCTAACTACATTTTGAATAAAGGCAAAAACGAAGAGTGCCATTGGAAGTCCCTGCTGCCGCACCCTCTGTCCCATATCTAATTGTTTGGGCTTGTGGGAATAACCTGACAAGTTAAAATGTTCTGGCAAATAGGTGAGGAAGTTTTTAGAAAGTTAATCGATACGTGGCCCCCGCATGGATGCATGTGCGCCCGCGCATCACATAGAGTAACAAGTTTCTGGTTCTCTAGCCTCCGTTGCACCATTTCCAAATCCGTGTGCAACTTTCGGGTTATTTTGTGGACAGTGTAATAAACCTTGCAATCTTTGATATGTGTCCCTGCTCCAAACCTATGGCGATTTCCCACAGAGAAGGACAGGGGTGCAGACAGTAGTGAAATGTGTACGGATCTCCTCCTGTCTATTTCACCGTAGCCAAGTTTAGGGGGCAACTTTAAAAAGCCCCAGTCAGGAAAGCCCGGCGGCAAAGCCTGCCCGACTTGAACTCCCTGGCGTGATGGTCCCTGAAGACGCCGTACGGGAGTGCGCGAGTGCGGGGAACTTGTGCGCCGCGGGCTTTGAAGAAGGTGTGCCCGCCGCTGCGCCCGCAGGGGATGGAAGTGGCAGCCTCGGGGGCGTGGGGGGGGGGGCTGTGGCCACCGATCAAGCTGTGGGTGGCTGTCGGCACCTGGCTTCCCCCGGGCCTCCCCCCGCCCGCCAGGAAAGCTGGGCAACTGGAAAGTTGAGGCATTACAGAAGGGCCGCACACAAAACGTCAGGAGCCGACCCTGGGAGCCGCAGCGCAGAAGAGCCCGGGTGGGAGGTCGGGCAGCGCCGCAGCCCCCCCCCCCCAGAAGTGGAACGGATGCGATGGGGGAAACGACAACTCTTCGCGCTCCATCAACACAAGCTCGCCCCTTCCCCATCCCCGCCTCACTCCCGCTACCCGCACCTCCCTCTATCCGGAGTGCCCCACAAGGAGTCACCGCGGCTAGGGCTAGAGGTGAGAGGGGGACTGGAGCGAAAGGGGGGGTCCCCCCATCCTTGTCTTTAGCTTCTCTTTAACAAAGGCGAAAAGCCCGCACCCCGCCGGGGCGCCCCTACGCATCCAAGGACAGAACGAAATTGAGCACCTACCACTGCTGCTCCAACTCCCAGTCCCTGAAAAAGTCGAATAGATCCATAGCGGCGGCGGCGGCGCCCGTCCCTGCTCGCTGCGGACTGGCGCGGCGCTCGGCGCGGCGGCGGCGGCGCTGGCGGCGGCGGCGTCCGTGCTCCGGGCGGCGCGGTTCTCCGGCCCTCCCGCCTGCTTACAAAAAGTGCCGGGGCCGCATGTGCGGCGCCGGCGGGCTGCGGAGGTGCCTGGTCCTGCGCCCGGTGAGCGGCGGCGGTAGTGGCGAGGGCACGGGGCGAACGAGCCCTTGGCTAAAGCCGCTCGCTCGGCACCGCTTGCGCCGCGGCTGCCCGCGCGCCCAGCGCCCTGAAGGCTGCGGCGGCGGCCGCGGCGGGCGGAGACGGGCACGACCGCCCGCCTGGCAGGCTGCGGGCGAGTGGCTGCGGCGGAGGCGGGGACGGCCGGGGGAACGCCAGCGGCGCGGTGTGGCGCGGCAGTTGGGGCGGCAGCAGCGGCGGCGGCGGCTGCACAGGCGGCGGCGGCAGCATCACACACTTACACACTCACAGGGGGCGGAGCCTGGGCAGCTCGAAGCCGCGACATGGAGCAGGCACGTTATCATCGCTGGATCTGGCAAGGACTCCACCGGCCGGCCCGCCACCCTGCACCGTGTCAAAATCAACCAATGGCAGCGACCACCAAGCAGGGGACAACACACCCTGCCCAGCACCCACATGCAGTTGCAGGGATACAAAGACGGGAACCCAGGAGCTAGGACATGGCTTGGGAGGTGGGAAGCGGGAGTGCAGATTGGTTCCCATTTCGCAGTCCCCACCACTGGGAAGGAAGTGTTTGTCAACATAAAACAAGGTGCAACCACCTCAGGGATACGGTACACCCCCTTCTGCGGACCCGCGCAGTACCTACTCGCACATGCGGTCAGAACCTGAGCACCTGAGCAAACTTTTGAATGGTGAACGTCCCTGTCGTTCCTGTCGCACAGCACGCGCGTCCATGGAGGACAAGGCGGTCACCTTCAACGTCCCCGCAGCGCGGGGGAAGTCCCAACTGCGAGGAACAACGCGGTGCCCTTCTGGGCTCAGGAACCACCAAGCAAGACTTAGTAGGTCAAGTAGCTGTGGGTCCTGCATTGAGTGAGCTGTTACTCCCAAACAACAGCCTCTGAATGCTTGTCGGCTTTGGGGTTTGATTGGGGAAAATTAGGTTGCACCATTACCATCCTTGACAGCCTTGGGCCGCAAGCCTTCTGTACTTCCCTCTGGAAAAAAAGAAAAACCTTGGCCTGCGTGTGTTCCCAAGATCCCACGCACAGACTGCTGGTTTCAGAATCGGCCTCTGCACGTGCAAGGCTTCATACAATTCCTCTCTGCCTTTCAGCCTCCCCGTGTAGTCCAAGGAAAACGGAGTCTCTTAAGCAAGTCCCTCAAGACAAAAGTTTCCTGGACTCCTCAGAATAAAGGGGTGCGGTGGGGCTATGTCTGATAGTTCAGACGCTTAGGCACTCTAGAATAGACAGCATCTGCTTTGCCTCTCTCCTGTACTTGTATTGGCTCACTGTTGAAATCCTAGGGGTCAAATTCTGAGGAAGACAGGTAGACTGAGCACTGACAGAGCAGATTGATGGGGGTTGTCTGATTGCAGAAAGTCATCTCTCTACAAGTCTTGCTTTGGCAAACTAAACATGTGACCCAGTACTCTTCTGACTCATTTTACTCTTCTTTCCCTCTCTGAAGAATCTTCTGGACTCATATTGGCTCATATTCTCAAAACCATGCAAATACCATTTCTTTACTTTTTTTTGTTCCACAATGGACTCAAATCTCTGCTGGATAATTTGCTCAATATATTTCCCTTAGAGAGGAAATTCAGATCGGAACTTAGAAGTTGGCAAGCCATCCAGGACCTGACCCAGTGGAAATTGCCATGAACGATGCACTTGAGGATCTGAGCCAGAAGGAGCACAGAGCTGTTTTCCTTCACATTCTTTGTCAGGGGAAAATACATATTGTTACTATCTAGAAAAGGGCTGGCAGATCCTGAAATTGTACTGTCTAATGGGGCTTTCCAGAAGTCTATTTTTCATGGGACAGAATCTTCAACAGGCCCTAACTGACTGACAGAAAATCAACCAATGGGCAGCCAAGAGGAGACCACATCTCAAATTGGCTTGTCAATTTGCCTACTTGTTAACTCCTCTGAGCAAACACTGCTGCAAGTGTTATTGGCAAAAATGATGGTGTGGCTTGCAAATTATCTCCCTGGCTTGCTCTTTAGACCAAGACTGTGAGGTCTTAAGGTGGCAGGGACTGCCTGACTCAGATCTGTGCCCCTCAGGAAATGATGCTGGAATTGAATTTGATCTCTAATAATGATTACCACCACAGTTAGTGTTAGATCTGCTTAACACTCCATACAAAAAAGCAGAACATCTACAATTAACATTGAAACAGTGATCATGGTCACTCCACGTGTGGTTTCCTGTTCTCACAGGGATATGTTTAGTAGGGATAAACACATGAAAAAAAATGTTAGGTGATAGATACACTTTCAACTGAAATAGAGCTGCTCCTTTAAGAGTTCCAGACCCCTGTCAACCCACTGGTGCACTTTCTTCCCAATCAGCGGGAGGACTGAGCAGAAGCAGAAGGAGCCAGCAAGAGGCAGCACTCTAAACAGAAGTGCCTGCGGGAAGGAGAGAAGAGACAAGTGGTACAGGCTGCCGCTTCAAAGGGGGGCAGGAGCTTTCCCTTCCTGAGATCAAAACTAAGCCGGGAAGGCAGGGCTGTGTGGAATGAGAGTCCCTGCACCGCCCCCCCCCCCAGCCACCCTCCTCTGACAGGAAACAGGTTAAGAGAGGCCACATGGAAGAATGGAGACTGTCCCAGATGCCAGCCAGTCAAGGCCCAGAACACATTAAGGGTATGAGGATTATTACTGGGCAGGGTAGAAGCTTTGTCTTTCTTAATCCACAGGGTGCTCTCTTCCTCCTCCTGCTCACCCCTGGCTCTGAAGGCAACAGATGCTTGCCCTATGGTTCTCAGCTATATAGGCTGTGAGGCTGCATCTAAACCATGATTCCTTCATCAAAAGCTACCAGAAGTGAAAGGAGCAGAGCTTTTACAAAGAGAGAAGTATCAAGAAGGGCAAAGGCTTTCTGGAAACAGGGCCCACTGGTATTGGCAGCTGGGCCTTTTATTTTCTGCGAGGTGGAGTTCTTCCCCTCTAATTCCACACACACACTGGCTCATCTGAGCTAAGGTGAAAGACTCCTCTGGGCCAGGTCTGCATTTGACCAGCAAAAGCACTATTTTGATTTTTCAACCCAATATTTACCAAGTGTAGACATTTTACTTGCCATGTGATCATCCCCTCTCTGTGGTGTCTTCTCTCATTCTGATGACCCCCTGCCTATCTCTGCTAATCTCTGCCATTCCCAAAACATATACTGAAAAGGACCTGCTGGGAGACTTACCAGACCATCTTTTCCAACAGACCAAGTTCAAAATTGACCCATTCAGGTGAAAGCAGAACTCATCTTCTTTTGGGTCCGAGATTGGGGACTCAAACTCAGTACCTGACACTTTCTCTCATTGGCTAATGCTCTACTAACTGAGCCACACTTCCAACCCCAGGAGCCATTTTCCTTTCCTTTTTCTTTTTTCTGCCAGTCCAGGGGTTTGAACTCAGGGCCTGGGCACTGTCCCTGACCTGCTTTTGCTCAAGGCTAGCACTCTACCAGTTGAACCACAGCTCCACTTCCAGCTTTTTCTGTGTATGTGGTACTGAAGAGTCAAAAACAGGGCTTCATGCATGCTAGGCAAGCACTCTACCACCAAACCACATTCCCAGCCCCCCCCCGAAATCCTTTTTTTAAGACACATGGGCTTATAGAACTATGATTCTAAGATGTTTGCCAAGTTGAAATTTTTGACATAAATTAGTTTTCAGAGTTTAATTTCTAATTTCCTGGTATTAATCTTCCTTTCTAAGTACCTGCAATCCACTATTCATACACTTGTATGAAAGGCACTATCTCACAGGTTCTTGTAGATAGTGTCGAAAAAATTACAATTAATTTAAGTAACTTTCAGCATGCATGTCAGATTCAGGAAATGAACAAATTTGTAGTGCATGATATGGATGGCATCTTGTCACACCTCAAATTTCCACCTCAAATATTAAGCATTTGTTTCCGATCTGGGATGCTCTTAGGCTCACTTACTTCCTGGAAGGAAATTATGACCCAGGTTACAGTTGATTTGAAGAAGGCTGCTAGAGATTAATTCCACAGGTTTCACGAGGAACCCCAGCTTCAGTTACAGTGCTTTTTTGATAGCCCAGTGTGGTGATGCCTCGAACTTGGAATGGGTCAGCGTGACTTACCCTGACTTGTTTCTGCACTTGGCCTAGACCAATCCCTTTTACGGGGAGCACATTCATCTTATGTAACCTCAGAAGGTCTGTATTGACTTGTCTTGTATGTGTATTCTCCAGGAATGCAGGACTCAGGAACGCAGGCCAGAGGCTCTCCCATGAAACTCACCAATGACTGATATTTAGAGAACTGATATTGAGGAGATCTCCTTGAGATCTCCTCAATTAGTCTGGGCATGTGGTCGTCTGAAAACTTGAATTCAAATTTGGCTCAGTACAAATCTCTGAATTTTGCACATACCTCATTAATATACATGTATTTTTTCATAATTCTTAATTCTACTACTTTGTACTTTGGATCTTTTTTTCTTTTTGGGTCCGGTCATGGGGCCTGAACTCTGGGCCTGGGCGCTGTCCCTCAGCTTTTCAGCTCAAGGCTAGCGCTCTACCACTTGAGCCACAGCGCCACTTCTGGCTTTTTTTTCTGCGTATGTGGTGCTGAGGAATCGAACCCAGGGCCTTAAGCATGCAAGGCAAGCGCTCTACCACTGAGCCACCTTCCCAGCCCCTGTACTTTGGATCTTAACCATATATTATAATTGAAAATCTCTGAAACTTTGAATTTTCTAATTACCACAGATAATGATCCTAGTTCGGAGCTCTTCCAAAGTCCTTGGTTCTGGGTTATTCCTGGGTCTTAAAATA